AACCACAGACCCCACACAATACAGACCAACTACATGTCTTCCAACACACTACAAATTATTGACATCCTGTATTGCAAACAAAATATACAAACATGTTGAAGAACACAACATTCTTACAGAACAACAAAAAGGTTGCCGTAGAAATCATGGGATGCAAAGAACAGTTACTCATAGATTCAATCATTCTACAGAAAGAACACAAACAACACAGACACATACACATGGCATATATAGACTACAGAAAAGCATTCAACAGTGTTGCACACAGTTGGCTGCTACATATTCTACACCTGTACAAAATACATCCATCACTCATAGCATTCTTCCAAAACACTATGCAGCACTGGAGAACAACACTACATCTCAGGGTTAGTAACACTTCCATACAAAAAACGAAATATATTCATTAGGTGAGGAATTTTTCAAGGAGATTCCTTGAGTCCTCTCTGGTTCTGCCTAGCCCTGAATCCATTATCCAACATGTTAAACAACATGCAATATGGCTACAATATCAGACATTAAAAAACAACACAGTTTATGCTGTCACATCTCATGTACATAAAACTTTATGCATCCACACAAAAACAACTTCACCAGCTCCTACAAATCATACATTCATAAACCAAGGACATACAAATGGAGTTTGGCTTAGACAAACACAAAACACTTCACATAGAAAAAGGAATCCTGAAGAAAGAAGATTCTGCACTTGGAAATGGAGACGTTATTGAATCCATAGAAGAGGGTGAATTCTACAAGTATTTAGGATTCCAGCAGGCCAAACTAACAGAACATACACAAATAAAGCAAAGATTAATTAAAGAATACCAAAGTAGGTTAAATGCTATCCTCAGAATACAGTTAAATTCAAAACACAGTTATAGCAATAAACACATATGTCATCTCTGTACTCACATACTGTTTTGGAATTATACATTGGACTCACACGGATCTCGAGCAACTCCAAAGGAAAACAAGAACAACACTTACTAAGCATAAACAACATCATCCTAAATCTGCCACAGAAAGATTAACCCTTCCATGTAAAGATGGCGGATGTGGCCTGATTGACATAGTTAACCTTGTAAGGAACCAAGTCCAAGCATTATTTTTAGTTACTTTTTATTTTGCTTATTATTCTATTTTTGTTTTGGGGCTTATGTTTTGTTAGGATGAAGGTTTCCTCACCATTCACTTTAGAAACTTAAAAATAGAAGAGAAACCAACTCACCGAGAGAAAAGCGCTGTAGTTGAAACTCATGCTCCCGAGCGGAAAAAAGTAAGTCCGCACCGAGAAAAGGGGGAGACCCCACAAGCACAACTTAGGGACTCGCTAAACCTTAAAGAATAAAAACATCCCGAAATTTGTTAAAAAGAATAATGTAAAAGGTTAGCGAGTATTGTAAAATAGGCTGCCAAACAAATAGAAAAAGTTTATTGTTAGCAAATAAGTATGTAAATGAGGGGAGTGATCGCATTCAGAATTGTGACGTCACCTCACAGTATAAAGACCGAACCTCAAGTGAAGACGGACGGGGTGAGCTTCTGATAGCAACGAGCTTGGTGAGCTTCGTAGCAGTGAACGAGAGAGGTGTCTTATAGGATCAAATAGTTCCAAGGCGATTTTGAAGTTATTCGATTTGTGGATCAACAAATAGAGAAAGTCTTGAGCGTTGAGGAAAAGGGTTCCTAGTATATTGAGGTGACAATTAGGACCTTTAATTCATAAGAATTATTGTTTATAAGTTAAGTTTTTGAATTTTGTCGAATTCCAAAGGGGAATAGAATTAAGTTAGAAAATAGATTGATTTGAGTTTTGTCGGGTTGATTCTTATTGAGTTTCATTGAATAAATTGTTACTTGATTATTTACTAAATATTGTATATAGTTTATTACTAGAACTTTTATTAAGTATTTGATGTGTTATTGACAAACTTTGTCATTATTTAATTCGGTGCACACTTAAAGTCCAGGCCTGGCACACTAACGCAAATCCACGTGAAGTACCCATTAGGGAACGGCTATTTCCGGCACACAGTTGTGTCGATAATCGTTGGAAAGTCGGAAAAACAATATAGTACTTTACAACCTTCAATACAAACAAATACAGTCACTGCAAGAGTTTTTCTACAAGAAACATCACAGTTACATAAAGCAGTAACTCTAGCAGACTCAAATAACACACCATTAAACTTACACTCACATCATACAGACTTGACAACATATAAAAAGCATAGACACCATTAAGCAATTGTGGGCTCGAAAGGCACTCCATGGCAGACATCTTTATGACTTGGCCCATGATTTTGTTGACAAAACTGCGTCAAACAGCTGGTTAGATCAGGGATGCCTCTTTGGGGAGACGGAAGGATTCATGATTGCCATACAGGATCAGGTCATAAATACTAAAAACTACAGAAAACACATACTCAAAGATACAACACTCACAAATGACACATGCAGAAAATGTCACATCATGCCAGAAACTATACAACACATCACTTCTGGGTGCAAGCTCTTGGCACAGACAGATTA